GACACTTAGTGCTTCATTTTATTAGTAAATTAAGGTTTGCAAACTAATGATCTTCCAGTGCACTCATCCGTTTTCATTTATTAGCTGACATACTACTCTGAAGAGAAACTTGCTGTCAACTACTATGGTTTCTCAGTGGTTCAGCTTATATAAGAATGGAGGATAGATGCTTGATTCTTTCCTTTATGTACCCACTTTTAAAACAGTGAGTCATGTCCCTGATATTATCCAACAGTGACCTATTTTGTGTGTATTTGTTTTCTTTTGTTTTTTAGTATTATTATGAATTCATAGATTTAAGCCTATTGTATTTGTTTCAATCCATTACAGTTATGTGTTGATGCTCAAGTTGTCCTGTCTTTGGCCATAATTTGTTTTTGTTGTGGTAGTTTTTTAAACTGTTAAAGCTTTCATTTCAATTACCCAGATATATATTTAAGGAAATATAGTCATGGGCTCTGTCATTCAGAGGTTCCAAGTGTTGAGAAATGACTTTTCTCCAATCTTGAAAGTATCACCACACCTTAGGTGTGACTTGAGTGGGGAGTGGGTAAGTGAAGGTTGATTACCCAGGTCTCATCTCCAGCCACACTTGTATGCGAGCCCTGGGACCTTGATGACATCACATTTGAATCAGCACATTTGGTGGGGCAGCCAAGTTACTAGGACTTTGGCCAAGATCTTGGTGTATAGAGCCCAGACCACTCCATTGCTCCAAATAACTGAAACCTGAAACCCTTTCTCCTTTAGGAGGTGTTGGAATTGGCTTTCTCCATCCTGTATGACCCCGATGAGACCTTAAACTTCATTGCACCTAATAAGTATGAGGTGAGCGGTGTGGTGCTGCCTTGGACAGCCCGGCCCTCTCTGTGACTCTGCAGCTGGAGGGGAGGAGTGGGCAGAACAGGAATGTCTCCCTAGAGTCAGGGGCCCACAATGTGTCATGAAGGCTATTGACGCCGAGGAACTGCTACACTGGGGGTCCTTCCCCCTGAGCTGGGTTCTCCGTGTCACTCTTAGCAGCAGTAATAAGTTGTCGTTAGAAAGACAGGGTCAACCAGGGATAACTTAACTTGCCTGGAACTAGGGAAACCTTCCTCCTTTCCGTTTCTGCATGACCACCCACCCAAGTGAGCCTGATAGATCGTCCCTCCTCAGGGCTCTTGGGTACTTGGTGTGGTGGACCTGACCCCCGGCTTTGAAGCCAAATAGATCTGGCCCTCCTGACATGGGGCCTACAGTTTCATCTGTAGCACTGGAAGACACTAAATATTGAAGATTAACTGTGTTTGAAAGCGTACATGTCTGGTGAACTCTGAGAGCCATTGGAGGGAACTGGAGGTAGGGCTTCTGGAAGAGAAGACACTTAGGCAGGGCCTGAGCTGCCAGTGGGGTTTTACTGGGAAGAAATGAAGAACTAGCAGGTGGGAGACAGGTGAGCAAAGTCATGGACAAAAATGGAACAAGAGGAGTTAGGGATGAGTTGAGAATTCTGTTTTTTCCCTTTTATCATGAGACCCTCAAGTTCAATTTTTCTAGTACTTATTTTTAACATTTATTGACTGAGTTTTTTTTTATTTATTTTTTTTGAAACAATATTGAGATTCTACAGTGATTCCTTGTATGTCCTGCTTTCTCACCTAATATATATTTCCTCCCCACCATTATGAATTTCGGGGGCAATTTCAGGTAGTTGATGTCCCAATACTCAGGTCTTGTTTTGCTTTATTGGTTTGTTTTTTTTTAATCATATTTCATACTACCTTAGGGAGTTTAAGTATAAATCCCTCATAAAAACTAAAAGGTCTTTTGAGAAAGTGAACGATCTCCCAGTTTTTCTTTGCTGTTACCCAGATCAGTCCTGCCTGTACTGAAAAGGGCCCAAAGAGACTGTGTGAGCCTTCTCAGCAAAGAGACCTTGCCAGGGCCTTCCACTGACCAGGGGCTGCCGGGTGACATTTTGCAACTTGTTCCCCATAGTACTGCATCTGGATTGACGGCCTCAGTGCCCTTCTGGGGAAGGACATGTCCAGCGAGCTGACCAAGAGTGACCTGGACACCCTGCTGAGCATGGAGATGAAGCTGCGGCTGCTGGACCTGGAGAACATCCAGATCCCTGAGGCCCCACCGCCCGTGCCCAAGGAGCCCAGCAGCTACGACTTCGTCTATCACTATGGCTGAGCCTGGAGCCAGAGGCCACGGTGCCCAGCAAGGGACGTGGGGCCCAGGAGGAACATTCACAGTCTGGTGCCTTGTCTTTTGCTTGTACAGAATCTCTAGTGACCGTGGTGGCCAGTAAATGCCAGTCACTCCTCAAACCCACCTCGGACCACCCAGAGCTTCCTCTTGGTCCCTGTCTACTCTGAGTCGTGAAGGCTGGGTGCTCTGCCCTCCCCATCACCGTGGAGCCTGGGGTCGGGCCATGAGGAGTGGACAGTAGATGCCCCTGCCTTCCAGGCCAAGAAACTGCTTCTTGAGCCAGAGTTAACAACCACCACTCACCTTTTCTCCCTGAGCCTGCTCGCTGGTTGGCTGGATCCCCGAGTGGGCAAGAGCTGGCCCAGGAAAGGCTGCCTGCAGTGGACAGACGTGCTGGGCGTATTGAGAGCCTCGGAGAGGCTACCTTTGGGTGAGCTGTGCCTCTGTCTTAGATCCAAGTGGAGGCCTCGACCTTTGCTTACTAGATGCCTTGCCGTAGCTTTTGCCGTCTTCGTGAGGGCTCACCCTGGCCTTGTCCAGGGCCAACGTGCTGCTGCTGCTACTGAGGTCTGGCTCTGACATCTCTGATTTCCAGGGCCACCAGGTCCTCCTGACCACGCAGTTGTATGGGTGGATGGACATTTCTCCCTATATGCTCTCAGTCTCTTATCCAGGTGAGTCAGAGACATGTGGGCTAAAGCCACCCTCCTAGTCTCAAGGAACTCTGCAGGGAGAGCCCAGATGAGGCCTGGGCCTAGACTGTGGTGAGGTCACTAGATTCTACTCCCCTCCTCCCACACTTACATCGTTTCCTTCCACGGAGAGAAACCTCCCACCTAACCCTGCAGCCCCTCTGGTTTGCTTTCCTTTGGCCTGCCAGACCTCAGGAGGTTTGCCTCCCTTTCCTCCTAGCCCAGCGCTGTGGTTTCTGCCATTGGCCATGATTTCAGGGAGCCAGCTGAGGCCAGCTGAGGCCACAGCTGTGCCAGTGGGGCTTCCCTGGTGCTGCAGCACTTACAAACCACACGCACAGCCTCTCTCCTTGGACACGTGTGAGCACAGTGGCATTCAGTATTGGTCGCTTGGCATGGTGGTACTGCCCAATGAAGAGTGTACTATATATTTTCTTTACTATAGGCCATACTTATACAGACATGTATATATATTTATATAAGATCTGCCTATCCTAGGATGGAATGTTTGAGGAAAAATAAAATGTGATCCGCCAAAAAAAAAAAAAAAGGTAACCCTCCCAGTTGTGAGCCAGGATTGTAACCTGAGAGTGGCCAGGAGCTTCCTGTCAGTAACCATGTTTTCAATAAATACTCTTTCATGTACAAACTGGTTCCTGTTAACAGCTGTTTGTCTGTATTAGCTCCCTGCCCAAGGGAGCTTTCACCTTGACAAGCCTTCATCTCGTGTCTGGAGGATGTTGGAGAGCTCAGCCACCTTCCGAGAGCCCCTTCCTCCTCTCCAGTGACTGTGCCCCCGACCACGCACAAGCCTGCACACATGCGCTGTCACACACACCTGCTGGTTAAGGATGCTCACAGATTGTCACGCCAGGACAAAGAGCTTTCTGCTCAGGCCTGCCAGGTACAGCAGGGAAAGGCATACTGTACACCCCTGTGGACGTGTTCTCCCTCTTCTCCCTGCCAGGGACACAGCCAGGGAACAGCTCGAGTACTTGTGCCTTACAAAGAAGACATGTTCTTCACCCTGTGTGTTGCCAGTACTTAGTGCCCAGCTTGCCAGCTGGTGTTTCAGTTGTTGCTTCAAACCTCAGCTTTGGTAGCTGGGAGGCTTGAATGAGGGCAGTGATGAAATAGATGCTTTATCTTGCTTTTGAGGGAGAAGGGGGTGAGGACAAGCTCTTTCAAAAGGCATGGAAAGTGAATGAAGCCTTGAGGACTGAATAAAGCCAAGAGCTTGGGTGCCATCGTAGGTGTTGTTAAGTACCAAGAGAACAAATACCCCCATGATGCCAGCTGGCGGAGGCGGGGCAGCAGCGGTTTGCATAATGAACTGCTTACACTCTGGCCTTGAGCCTTGAGCCTTCCGTTCAGAGAAGCCAGGGAGCCCAGCTGAGTCATTTGCAAGGACTCCTGTTTGCAGCTAGTCTTAGAGCCACAGATCCAGGAGGGGCTGGAGAGGGAGGGGAAAAATTCCCCAGACTGGGCCTCAATCTGCAACCCTAGGCTGCCTGGCCTCCAGATGCCTACCCCCCCCCCCCCGCATGCTCTACCTCTTAATTCATCCTGCAAGATGAGTAAGATCTTAACTCAAGCTGGCATTTTGGGGACCACTGAAACCTGCCCCTTGGCTACTTTTCCAACCATGGTTTTTGTTAACTCTTTATAAACAAGTGGACTCCAAGCCAGGCTCCAACCTTCTCGTCTCCTTATTTCCTGCCTGGGATGCCCTCCCCCCAGTTTATTGAAATTGAGATAATTTTTATAAAGTTTCAGGCACACAAAATGTTTCACAAATGTCTATATTTACCACCTCCCATGGATCTTCCAAGTCCTAAAATTTAATGCCCCTGACATCACTCCCCAGCTGGCTTGAGGTCCCAGAAGACAAAGACCAGGAGAGATCTATCTTGGTGTTTCCATGGTTGCCCAGCACTGGGTTGGAAAAAGGTAAATAATTAGTTCAACAGTAGTAGGCGACTGTTTTCTGGCTGCCCGCAGTGCGCAGGGTTCTGCTGCAGGCACCAGGGCTCCAGGCCGAGGCTGTGGTTGAGCGCAAGAGGTACAAAAACCACAGCACGCAGGGGTG